CCAGGCCCGGCTCAAAGCCAGCCTGGCCTGGCGGGTGGCGGCTGCGCGAGTCGGGGTCCGGCGCCCCCCCTCGTCGCCCTCGGTCCCGCCCCTCTGCCTTTATCAGTCCTACCCGGTCAGACCCTCTCTCCTCCCCTTTCTCTCGCTCTCCATCCCTCACCCCACCCCTCTTCCCTCGCCTTTCTTCCTCCTCTCGTCCCCCGCCCTCCCTCCTTTTCTCCCCTCCCCTCTGCTGGGCGGAGCTTCTCCCCGCCCTCCCAGACAATGCCGTGGCCGCGTCCCCTTCCCTGCCTGCGAGTCCCGGCTCCCGCTGCCAACGTCTCTTCCCGGATGAGGGGCGGGGGTGGGGAGGATGAACTGGCTCCCCCTCACCCCAGCGCCGCTGCCCTCTCCCAGTGGGATGGAGACTTCGCCCAAGCTCCTCGGCTCTTCCCGCGCTGTGACAGCCACTCCCAGGAACAGTCAGCGCTGCCCCATCAGGCCCACCTCGAACGCCCCGGACTCCCCAGGCAGAGGCTTTGAGAAATACTTTTTCCCTAGCACCCGCCTAGTTCCCAAAAGGGCTTGAGCTGAGCAGGGGCTAGGCAGGCCCCTCCGCCTTGGCGGGCTGGCAGACGTGACAGCAATGTGAAGAAGCCAAGTTTCTTTGTCCATATCTCACCGCCTCCTCTTATCCATCCCTAGATCTGCGGGAGCTCCCACAACCCCAGCTGCGGCTTCCCGAGCTCCTTATCAGAATTATTGCCTCACTTACAGACCCCCAGTTCGGCAGAGTCGCCCGGTCCCCAAGAAGAAGGGAGCCTGACAGTAATGGGTGGCCAACCCCCAAAGTACAGCCCGACCGGCTCATCCCGGCCTGGAAGCCAAACATTCTTGAGTAAATTCATTGTTTGGATCTTGGAATGTGTCTCCCTTAGAAACAATGTTATAAATGGTGATCAGCTTCCCAGGCCAGCCACGAGAGTCTGTGGAACCCAAAATGCAGCTGTAGGGTGGTGCTGGGAACTGTCAGCTCTCCTGAAACAAGATTACTGAGCAGCTTTTTCTACTTTTGCTTTTCCTAAAAAAAAAATCTGATTCTTTCCCCCTTGAACTATAAACACCAACTATACATTAATTTCCTCCCTCTGGAGCTGCTCCTCTGTGTGAGTAAACTGTGTTCCTTAGCAGGTAACAGAAGGGCTTCCAGGAACCCAGAAGTTCTTCTGAGGGAGTCTGTTTTGTTTTTTTTTTTCTTTATTGTAGATCAGACTTCCTTGTATCCCAGACATTTGGTAAAGGGTGGCCACGACTTCCATCACCAAGTTTAGAGCTTTCCACCTTCCTTTTTCTTTCTCTCTCTCTTTCTCTCTCTCTTTCCTTCTCTCTCTCTCTCTCTCTTTCCTTCCTTCCTTCCTTCCTTCCTTCCTTCCTTCCTTCTTCCTTTCCTTCCTTCCTTCCTTCTTCCTTTCCTTCCTTCCTTGCTTCCTTCCTTCCTTTCTTTCCTTCTTTTCTTTCTTTCTTTCTCTTTTTCTTTCCCTCTTTTTCATTCCTTTCTCTCTCTCTCTCTTTCTTTCTTTCTTTCTTTCTTTCTTTCTTTCTTTCTCTCAAGAGAGAGCTTTTTGCTATAGGGTGTGTGTGCTTGCCAGAGAGACAGAGAAATCACACACCCCCACCAGGGGGGATGGCCATGCCACAATCCTTTCTCTTCCATTCTTCTCTCAGGATTTGGAGCACTGCCCACACACACTGGGCCAAACCCTGGTTGACTACCTGGAAGTCCAGCACCTTAACCACTACACCATCCGCTGGCCCCTAAAGCTCTGCCTTTCAAGGAAGTAGGCAGTACTGTTAGAATACCTGCCTCTAGGCCAGTCTCCCAGCAGAGCAGCTCATTGGCTCACGTTGGGTCAGCCGACCAGCCTATGACCAATCATCTGGGGCCAAAGGGTAGTAGGTTCCCAAACTGGGCTGTGCAGAACCCTGCCCATAGACTTTGTTTAAAACCAAGACTACTTATCTCTACTTATATTTTCCATCTTGGTGGATAAATTGATTGATTGATTGAGTCAAGACACCCGACAATGTATTTTCATTGCCAATTTTCCCATTTCAAAGCCACAGAGAGAAAGAAATAGCTGCCTCTCATTGTTCAAGACAAGATGGGGCAATAAATCTAAACTAGGGGAAGTATTTTGCATGTATTAAGCTGTTACATTATATTTTGTCCACAACCCGTATTTCCTTTCAGTCTTCTGTCCCAAGGGCCTTAGGGCACATGCACTTGCTGGAGAGATAAAGAGGGAAAGTGAGAAACTTACCACCCAGGGTGGAATGGCTATGCCACAATCTCTTCTCCATTCTCCTCCTGACATCTTGGGCACACATGCACATGCACCCAGAGTGATTTTCAAGCCACAGGATCCAGGACTCGAACTGCGGTCAGCCATGTGGGAGTCTAGCAATGTAACCATTTTCCCATCAGCTGGACCCTAGCTGATGAATAATTTTTTTAAAAGAATTTATTCAACTTTATTTGTTATTATTATTTATTTTTGTTTTTAAAATTCGACCAGAGAGAAACAGAGAGAGAAAGGGAAAGGGAAAAGGCAAGCCACCAGGTCCGAGACTTAAACCGTCAGCCATGTGGGAGCTCAGTGTCACCACCACCATGCCACCTGCCAGCCCCCCAGTTTTAAACTTTCTAGTAGCCACATTAAAACATAGTAAAAAAAAAAAAAGGGGGACCAGCAGTTAGCATAATGGCTATGTCGCTGGACTCCCATGTAGTCAACCACGGTTCGCGTTCTGGACCCAGTGGCTTAAACTCATGCCGGGTGCGTGTGCATGCATGCCCAAGATCCCGATAGGAGAAGGGAGGAGAAGGGATTGCGGCGTGGCCATCCCCCCTGGGGGGTGATTTCTCACTTTCTGTCTCTCTGTCTCTCTCTGTGTGGCGAGCACACACGTCCTATAGCAAAAACCTCTCCAAATAAAATAAAATAAACTTCTTTTAAAAAATAGTAAAAAACGAAAACAAAACAAAAATACAAGAATTTCCAGGAGCTTCTCACACTGAGCAGTCCCAGAATGGTACTTTAGGATTAATGGGAGGACTCCTCTCCCATGCCTCCCCAACAAAGGCAAATTACTTGTTTTCTAAACTAAGGGAAATCCAGAGGCAACACACATATAGCATAAGAATCTTGAAAAGAACAAATTCAAGGGACCAGCAATTAGCGTAATGGCTATGGCGCTGGACTCCCACGTAGTCGACCATGGTTCGCGTCCCGGACCCAGTGGCTTAAACTCACGCTGGGCGTGTGTGCATGTGTGCCCAAGATCCCGAGAGGAGAATGGAGGAGAAGGGATTGTGGCGTGGCCATTTCCCCGGGGGGTGATTTCTCGCTTTCTGTCTCTCTGTCTCTGTCTGTCTGGCGAGCGTACGTGCCCTATAGCAAAAACCTCTCCCAAAAAAAGGAAAAAAAAAAGAAAAGAAAAGAAAGAACATATTCAAAACTTTCTGAATTAAAATATCATGTGGGAAGATCTTACCGTGAAGTGATAACTCCAGTTTCTGACTTCAAATTCAGAAGACAGCTTAAAATATCCCCATTCAGATTTAGGAAAGGAACCAAGGAACAGATTGAAAATGTATTGATTGTCCCATAGTCAAGTAAGACGTTAAGGATAATTTAGTGACTAGTCGTAGTATATTGACTGAATTTTGGTCACGCCTGGTGTGTTTTTCAAGCTGCCCAGACCAGGACTCAAATCACATAATCAGGCTGTGGACTCCAGCTGCCTTAACCACCATGCCAGGGACTCACTTCTCAAATAAATTTTTACATCACAACACTCAGGTCTCTATCAAAGTCAAAGCTGTCCCCATTTAGTAGTGTTGACTTAGAGAGCATAAGGTTACATTTATTTATTTTATTTCATTTTATTTTTGGAGAGATTTTCACTATAGGGCGCGTGCGCTCGCCAGACAGACAGAGACAGACAGAGAGACAGAAAGCGAGAAATCACCCCCCAGGGGGGATGGTCACGCCGCAATCCCTTCTCCTCCATTCTCTTCTCGGGATCTTGGGCACGCACGCACACACGCCTGGCGTGAGTTTTAAGCCACCAGGTCCGGGACGCGAACCGTGGTCGACTATGTGGGAGTCCAGCGCCATAGCCATTACGCTAACTGCTGGTTCCCATAAGGTTACATTTAAAAA